TTGTCATAATGAGTATATTAGCTCTCTATTCAGCTACACTTCCTTATCTCTCCATGTGTGTGTCTGTCTGGAGCTACGTTGCACTGTTTATTTATTCTCTAGCTATCTTGGGAGGTTATGACCTGTTTCTTCAGCCCTTTGCCAGTCAAAGTCCTTTTACATGTACATGCACACTACAGTACATGTACTTGTACATGCATAGCTTGTGTGTGTTATACGGTCATGATTTGACGGCACCTGCTAGATTCTAATAGTGGAGCTCAAAGCCTTTCTTAATTGTTAATGGCATGCATAGCATCTCAAATCCAATAAAGAATTTGTTTTTGCTTGTACACAAGTGATGCACTCTTGTTGGCATTTTTGTTATTGTAGATATGTCTCTTTTTGTTTTTCTAAGTACCAGCTCTTTTACTCCATGGGGAGACTGTGACGCTTAGTGATAGCCCATAGTTATGCACCCTCCTTCTGTCCTGTCTCTCTCTAACATGTCTCCCTGCCCCTCTTTCTCTTTTTTATGTTCATCTGTTTCCTTTTGTGCTCCTACTCTCTCTCTTTCTCTCCGTCTCTTTCTCTCTCTCTCCTCCTCCTCCTCCTCCTCCTCCTTCTCTTCTCACCCATACTTTAATCTTGTTATATCCATATACTCACAACAAAGTGTCGATATGTTTTTCTCATAGTCCTTACTATATATTCTAATATGCATTTCTTCACATTGTTTTTCTACAAGTAGACACGCTCTACCTCCTAATATTTATAAATGTGCAGCAAGTATGTTTTAGGGAATCGGCCTTGCTTTTCCCAAATATAATTGTTTACTATACCTCCAGTACAAATTGCTGCAATAGCGGCATGTTTGTATTTTTGTTTGTCACGGTTTATGCACAAATTTCACAGCTGCATCTGTTGCAAAATAATGGGAGTTCACACATGTGGTTGGCTATGGTGAATTTTTGTGTACATTCATATTTCAAATGAAATATGCCAATGTTTATAGAGTAGGAAAACAAGTGGTGCCAAAAATGAGAAAGAGAGAGAGGGAGGGAGAGAGGGGGGAAGAGAGAGAGGGGGAAAAAGAGAGAGGAGAGAGGGAGAGAAAGGCATATGCAAGACATTTTATTTTTAATCTTTATCCTACATCACTTCATTATGATGGTGATGTCAACACCATTATGTCTCTCCTCCTTTGAAATCTATAAACAAACACACACAGAGCCTCTGTATCTCCTTACAGCCCCAATACAGGACTATATATCATTGTTTATGTGTTTCTACCTTTCTCCCTTATCTCCTCCATCGTGTGTCCATAGAAGCGATATGATCTAGTCTAATACTGCCCCTATACAGCACTGCATGTCTTCTATCATCCTCGAGTTACAATCTGTTGTGTGATCTAGTTGGATTCAGTTACTATCATACTCTTACTTGTAAAAAGTAGCATGAATCGTGTACTAGTATATGCAAGTGGGAGAGTACTTTAAACATGTATGCATGGGTATAGTACTAAATTAAAGTGTGCATTTATTAGCATTCTTGCACGCGCTGCCTCTAACCAGCAAGGAGTGTGCTTTCATGTGGATGTGTATAATTATGTACTCTGGTATGGCCTTTTGTTGTCCTTGTGATAACTATTGTAAAAAGTGGCGTGTTTAATCCTCTTGTCATTATTTTAATGAGGCGTGCATGTGTTAAGAGGTTTGTGTGTAAATAGCGTGTTATAGACCTACGAGTATGATGGAATGTTTTAATTTTTTAAGCGTTGATAGATTGTTTACTGAAAGACTATACATGTATGTATGTATGTGTGCTAGGTATAATAATTTATTTTTCATTCATTTTTATATTTTTATTTTTTGCTAACTCAAGAGTGTGTATGTTCATATTCTGAATGTTCCAAGTTGAAATATTTTGCTCATATTTTTTTAATTTTTCACCATCCTCCTCCTTCCATTGTTAGAATGATTCATTGAATAGTTTAATGTCTGAAGAAGTTTTTGTATTTTAAAATCAAATGAGATTTGACAAAAAACATACATAGAAAGAGAGAGAAGAAAAGAAAAGTGCATTTACCAGTGATATAATAATAATAATGATGATAATGACAAAATATTGTACAAGTGAGTGTGACTGAGTTTTGCATGTGTGTGTGTGAGTAAAAAAAGTTTTACATTTAAATGTACTCGACACTTTCTTCTTCATGAAGAATTTCTAAAATTAGTTCATTGTCGGTTAGATCCGATGTCTTTTCGTATGAGTTGGTAAGAGTATGAATGGAAGCTCCGTATTCAATAAGGAGTAATACTACATCGACGCTTGAGTTGAAGGCAGCAATGTGGATCGGTGTGAATCCTTCTCTGTCTCTTACGTCTGGATCAACCAGTTGATGCTTCAATACGTAGTATGCGAGTCTTGTGTAGTTCTTGGCTGCTGCTAGATGTAGTAGTGTATCAAACTCGGTCTGACTTTGGAGCATTACATTAAGGAACTCAACATCTTGGTTGCTCTCGTAGTGATTTCTGACTGTTTTGAGGACTGACATTTCTGTATCGTCTATGCTTGAGGATTTGCTGAGGGTGGTGCTGTCTATTCTGAGATCATTGAGGTCTGATTTTAGTAGGAAGCGGGCCATCTCTGGGCTCTCTGCGAGATCCACTGGTCTCTGTCCGTCTGCGTTCCTTATGCATGTTAGTGGCTCGTTGCATGCTGAGATGACAAATGTTGCAGCCTCGAGGTCGTCCATTGCTGCAGCTACGTGAAGTGCTGTCCATCCTTCTGGATCAGTAGTGGTCAGCTCTGCTCCACTGTTGACTAGGAGCTTGAGGCTCTCTAGTTGTCCCTCGAAGATGGCTCTCATGACTGGTGGAAGCCCGCTTGGCTCCCTCTCCTCCACAACAATGTTTCCATAGTCTTTTATGAGTTGCTTGACTTCGATCAGGTCTCCCTCAGTGATTGCTTGCTGGAGGAGAACGCTGACTGGGAAGTGGACTCCCTTTCTCCTTGGAGGGGCCACAACGGCTTTGGTCTCCAGGTAAGAAGGTCGAGAGATGGGGAGATTGACCGAGCGCCGTCTCAGTGACTTCTCCTTGGATTTGATCTCTCCTGACAATGTCCTGCAAGGGACGCTGGTCATGATTATGTTGCTCATGTACATTGAAGTTTCCATTTGTATTTCAGTTGAGATTGGACTTGTCTTGTCTCTTCTTTATTTTGCTTTGTAGCTAGCTTTCTTTGATTTGCTTCTTGGCTTGTACAAGCTCTGTTTATATACTCTTCCTTTGGCCTCCCTAGACTAGTTTCATCCGGTAGAGCAGTTAATTTGAATTCCTGAGTTATTATTATGAATTTTGTTGTTGTCAATGTCAATACAGTTGTACAGTGGAACCTGCTTAATCCGATCACCCTTCAACCCTTGGGCCAGTTTTAAATGGCCTGATTATGCAGGTGGCTGCATTACAGGTCAGCCTCTGTAATACAGCCATTTCAGGATTTTGGCTTATGGCTGTAATAGAGAGGTGGCCTCACTACTCAGGTGACCTTAGCACAGGTTCCATTGTGTCTAGAATTGCAAAGATATGCCTATGATGGTAGATTATTACTTTTAGATTTTGATCAATAAGTTATTTTATCATGCTTATAATTATTCCTTCCTTCTTTTACCCTAAATAAGCTGACATGTCATTGTTTGGATCTTTAGCTAAGGTGATCATAATATATGATGCGTAGTAGAAGACACTTTATTACTACATTGCACTTATAAACAGGACCTAAAAAGATATATTATAGACAATCATATATAAATTATAAGTAATGAATTTAAATGTAATTGTAAACGAATTGACTTGTTGTTGTTTATCTTAACTTTTCACCTATGCGCTCCTCATTGCATTGTTTATTTTATTTGTTTTTAATGCTACAATTACCAGCCCATAACATCAACTTTGGATTGTGTACACAATGACAAACAAAAATACCTTTATTGTTTACTCTCGTATTGTTTACTCTCGTATGCGTTTTTTGTATCATCTATAGTGATAATGGAGCATGGACAAGGAAAGAACTAGATGGTGGTAGTAATGGTTTGCTTAGAGGACAGAAAGGAGAAACTTATGAAGGGGGAATAAGGTGAGAGAGAGAGAGAGAAAGAGAGAGAGAGAGAGAGAGAGAGAGAGAGAGAGAGAGAGTAGGAACTGATTGATAAGATGAATCAAAAAGGAAGATAGAGTAAACATCTATTGAGATATCAGATTAGGATTCGGATAATCCAAATTAGTTATCGGTAAACAGCGATACCCTCTTGTCAACTCAGTCCCAAATATTTCCATTCACTTGTACACAAATACACAAACGTCCACATCTTGTTTTCTGCTATACTCCTTAGATAGGTCTCTTGTTATGACTAAAAGACGTCTCCTATAGTGCTAGCAACCAGCTGTTTATCCAAAACACAGAGTCAAACAGACCCGCATGCTAATACAGAGACACTTACAACATGTCATGTACATACACACATGTACATATATGTCCCCCTACATGTACTATACGAGTACATGTAGACCAATATGCCCCCTACATCTCAATACTGACACACTATACATGCCCCATGCAACACTATACCCTTATACTATACTGCATGTGGACTGTAGTTATTATTATTCATAGACTGTATATTTAAAAGATGTTATGAAGTGTTGCTAGCATTCTTTAGTACTGTCCAGGCCTCCTGTGGCTGAATGGGCATTTATCTCACGGTCCAAAGGCAAACATGTTTACAGTTTATTTGCAAATAGAACCTTTAAGTAATTAGTAATTTTAGAATAGGCTAACGTGATGTTGGAGCTATTTATTGCATTAAGGTTGCATGTTGATGTTGTACATTTTTTCTAATATAGAGTGCCAACTATATTCAGCTGGCCTGGGAAAATACCGTCTGGGAAAGTAAGAGGGAGAGAAAGATGAAGGAATGTGAGATTCATTAATTGTTTAATTGAGTGACTCATGTCCTTTGTCTGTGAGAGAAACTGATCAAGTGTATGACAATAGAGACTGCATGTATGACAATATCTCATTAATTCCCGTGTTCTTTTTTTCTCTAAAGGTTTCAATGTCACTTGGTAGTCATTTGGATTTATTGGCTACGTTTGCTGAGCTTGCAAGCGTCAAACTGCCCAATAGGACTTTGGATTCATACTCCCTTGGACCACTTCTTCTTCAAGACAAGGAAAGTAAGAGATAGAGGCCCGGGGGAGAGAAAGGGAGGAGAGAGGGATTGGAAAAGGAGAAAGAAGAAATAGAAAGAAATCAAAACTGAATTTGTAGAAGCCCCTAAGTTTGACCTTTGATAAAATCATTCATAATTGTAAAGCAATCAGGATATGACATTTTAAATGTGGTGTTTCCTCTGGGCTATAGTATTGTTATTTTTAGTACAATTATTCAAGCCGAGCTCTTTGATTACATAAAGATTCAAATGATCCGTTTAACTGCTTTCATAGCTCTAGGCACAAAGTTCAATACGTCCCTTCCTGCTTAATGTACTCCTCCTTGTCCACTTATGTCACAGGATCGACAGTATTCATTGCAGCCTGCACAATTTACACAGTGCATGCATACCATTGTAACACACTGTGGACTGCACTGCATTGTGTTAAAGGAAGAAGGAAGGATGTAGAATGCTCTAGAATGCAGAGCTTTCATTACAATTGTTTGTACACAATTATGAACTCCTAGCTTATAGTTTAGAGACACTGAAATACAATATTCTTTTGTCAGTAGTACAATATACCTGCTGTGCATATTTACGATAATCATTCCTCTGACTCTTTTATGCTTGAGCAAAATAACTACCATGTATATGGTATTTTATTGAATGAGTCTTTAAGTTCATTTTCTTATGCATATACATGTACTTATGTTGAGCTAATTCCAATTACAATTGGATTTTTACAAATTTTTAAAGTTGCTCCAAAAATTTTGGAGCAACTTTATAAATTCATAAAAATTTAAACTTAATCAAAATCAGCTCAAACTTGATATGCAACATAAAAACATGTATATGTATCAGAAAAAATTATAAAAATTGACAATTTTTTCCTAGTCATTTTTGGTGAAATTTGGCCGATGACCCTGTACTATAGTACAGGGACTTTGGCCTAATTTTGGAGCAAGTTAAAAAATTTGTAAAAAATCCAAACTTGATCGGAATCAGCTCAAACTTTCTATGCTACATAAGAACATGTATATGTATCAGGAAATGTAATAAAAATTGAGAATTCTCTCCTAGTCATTTTTGGCAAAACTTGGCCAAAGTCCCTGTACTATAGTACAGGGTTATCGGCTAAATTTCACCAAAAATGACTAGGAGAGAATTTTCAATTTTTATAATTTTTTCTGATACATATACATGTTTTTATGTTGCATATCAAGTTTGAGCTGATTTTGATTAAGTTTAATTTTTTATGAATTTTTAAAGTTGTCCCAAAATTGGGCCAACGTCCCTGATGTACTATAGTAAGCATTTCATTAAAAATTGCTATGAGAGAATTCTTTTATATTATAATGCACACTTTATCACTAATGCCGCGTGATCATGTAGGCCAGTTTTTATAGCTCTAATTAGTTTTATCACAGCTAAAACATGCAACAAGAACGGATAGGCTACCAGGAAGGCCACTCCATGTACTTGTTTAAACTTGTTCAGGTCAGACATTTATAGTAAAAGAATTCTTTTGCTATTTCCACTACAAAACACAGCCCTACCGAACAAAGCATTTTTATGAGTCATACGTGGGAACTGTTACATTATATACACACATAATAGCAGCTCAGAAAATTTAATTTGCTCTAATATTGATATAGTAACCTCAAGTAATTGTGCTGTCAAGATTTGTATTTTTAATATAATGATTTTAATTAATGCGCATAGGCATACGTTACTATATGCTTACGTGATTAATGAATCTACACTATGTTATTATTAATTTTTTTGCCTTGAATTGAAGTTCAACAGTGACTCAATCCTCTATAGCTGTACTATGACATAGCATGAATATAATAGCTAGACCATAATCTACATAGGTATATGCTATTCATTGTATTAGCTGATGCTAAGGAATATGGATATTCATTTCAGCCATAGGGAGTAAGAGGTCACAGTTGAGTGACATCACTGAATACTTTAATGTGCCTTTATAGTATTATTATTGTTGTTGTTGTCATTGGAGTAAATTTCTGCCCCAAGGCACTTCACATCTGTCATATAAGAGATAGCTAGGAGGATTGATTTAAGCTTTTGTTTGTAACAACAATGGAATCCTACACTTCACCGCTCTCTCTGATTATGAACACTCAACCTCTTCTTGTCTTCCATCCATCCACTACCCCTCCATATGCATGCAGCACTTTTGCATGTCCCTAATGCAATTTGCTATAGTTGAGCGTGTAAACTCCTTGTATGCATAGTACATATGAGCATTGCAGAAATATTTGCATCTATGGGATGAGTAATGATAAATAAATGATGGTACAGTGTATTTGGGGGGGGAGGGGAAAGAGAGAGAAAGAGGGATTTATGGTAGAACGATAGCTCATGAAAATCATCCAAGTGATGACACTCATTAATATATTGTATATTTAGTTTAATGGAGTGTACATGTATCATAGAAGATGCAATAACATCCTAAAAGCTACTATCAATACTTACTAAGCATAGTAATTTCATATACAAACAGGATTTACTACAAAACAAATATTTGCCTAATTATCTCCTCCTACAGCTCGCAATCGAAATATTCACAACTTTCGCAGAGTTATAGCCTATAATACTATCATTGGAACTACACGTATTCCTTGTTGTATTAATGCCATATACCTCATCCATTGCAGCAATGAGTGTTGATTAGTCATCACGCATTGTTACACACACAGTTCAAATATCTCTCCCTCCCTCTCCCACTCCTGACACATACTGTGACCATATACAGTGCTTTGTTGTAGTGTGCAGAAATCCAGTGAATGCAGCATGTGGTGCTTTTGGGCTCAGTTATTTGTTTTGTATATCTCATCTCAACCCGCCCTTGTTTTTTTCTTTTAAACTTTCTAAAGTTTTTGCATTCTTTTTTTTAATCCACTCCTCCTTCTCTTTCTCTCTTTCTTTATGATTAATATTTATTTATGCTCCATACCATATTTCTATATTTTCTTCTCTCAGGCCCACGTGAAACCGTTTTCTATTATCGTGGAAAGACTCTGATGGCCGTCCGCTATCGTAACTTTAAAGCTCACTTTGTTACTCGTTCAGGCTGGGGAGAGGACCCTCCAATAGTGAGTCGACAAACAAACACCCACTCGTTTGATTGCTTGCAAACCTGAGGAATTTTATTTGATATAATCAATCAAGCAGTATCGAATTCCTTATTATAATTGCTGCGCACCTGTCACCTAAATACCATACCATTGATTAAAAAGAGAGTGTTTGCCTAAATACAGTCAACAATAGACGACTCATATTTTATGCCTGTTAAATCTTGTGTACACTGTATATTCAAGTGCATTATACACATTATGCGTGTATTATAATTAAGGGGAATAAATATAGAGTCACATTGATTGTCATATATGACATTATGATTAGTAGCTCCATTGCTTTCAATTAAGACTCCCCTGCATTCACATACAAAGCAACTGATATTGGTTAGTATGGATCCATTCAGATACAAAGCAACTGTTTATGCTTATTATCCATTCAGATACTTCATCAGTTTCTATTCATGATGATAATAGCAAGTTGTTTGTCAGGTATAATCCTGGTATGTCCCGGCGCATTATTCAAGGCTACTTGCTGTAAGAGATCAAAGCTTTCCTCCTGCAGCTTGTTTGTCCTGTGTGCATTGATTTTCAATAAGGATACACTTGAGTGTCCACCTGAAGCTCATTGCCCTGTACATAACACATTACTTACTCATCCCATTTCCTATTATAAATTCCTCCTCTCCTCTGCTTCGTGTTTGCATGCATGTAGACTGTGCATGACTTGTAGCAGTTAGGAGTTTGTGTCTTAATGAAATGTGATATTCCTTCTCCGTGACATTATGATGCATTCAATTTGAATGTATATCTCCTTTGAGTAAGTAATACTGCTTGTTTGTGTGTTTGATTTTCATTAAGGATGCAGCTAATTTAATGCCAGCCCAAATGTCTTAAGGTATGAACACGAGAAGGCAATTTAATCCTTATTATTCATTTTCCCTATTTCATTTTATTTTATTTTATTTTCATTATTGCAGAGACATGATCCCCCAATTCTGTACAACCTTGGAACAGATCCTTCAGAACAAGTAAGTCATTTTAATGTAAATATAAATGTATTTGTCTGCTGGTAATAAATATTTAGTATGCATCAGTTATTATTACGTTACTTTATTGTGCTTTAACGCCACCTTATATGTAATGCTTCTCATCCTAAACTATTCAATATTCATGTTCTTGTTTATACATGTATTTATGTTTATTCTTGTTCATGTATGCGTGTTATTGAGACGCATTCATTAGTACACACAATCAACCACCTCCCATACAAGCCATTCATTCTTATTTGCTATGCATGCGTCAAGATGCAAGACAACAAATTTCATGAGTTTAATTTTTATAGTTACTGTAAGCATATGTCATTAATTCCTTTCACATGATTGTATTATTCGTACAGTGTCTGTTTATGCTAGAATGAGGAGTGGTCTGCGATGGTTGTAGCTCAGAAATTTATATTGAAATTTTTCAAAGTCTCACAGCTGCTAAAATCACGAGAGACGGTGAGAGAGTGTGTAGTTCCACTACCAATTGCCACTTTATGCGAGTATATTCACACGAAGAGAAAGAGAGAGGAATGGAGAGAGAATAGTTGATGTATTAAATAATATTATAACTCAATAGTAATACTATTAACCCATAGCCTTGTGGCTATTGAGTCTTGTGTCCAACTTCCTACTTATTTCAGGCTAAAACTTTTGACCCGTGTCAAACTTGCCTACTCTTTCTCTCTTAATCTGTGAAGAGGGATTATACCGTTCATGACCTAGGATGTCTCTCTCTCTCACAGCCTCACCCACTCAAATACTATGTTTTCTTAGGCTCAACTTACAGTCTCAGACACTCCAATAGACATTGTGGCAAGCACGGAAGTATGAACAGATCATGCTATAATAAAGGATATTATATCGAAGGGTATTATAGATTATGGATTTACTGCATAGCACACGCATGATGTATATGTATTAGAAGAGACATGATCTATGGATACTAAAACAACTGTTATGCTCAGGAAAAATTTAGGGGAAAGAAACATGTAATTTGAATCTAATAAATTAGTTATAGCATTGCTCGTGGCATAGTAACTATCATCCTACCTCTTTCTATATATGACTTAACTTCCCCCTTGCTGTGTATACATTATACACATGCATGAACACCATAGCTAATCTCAGTGTTATATTTCTTAATAAGATTCATTATTTGTGCCTAGAGGGACTAACTGGCTATAGCTAATTGTAATTGATATGAGCTACATTGTTGATGCTGTTTGTGTTCTGTATTACTATAATTGACTGTCAGACAGTGAGTGAGTGCGCTGTCTGTCTCTGCTTGAATTAAGTTGAATTCCAACAACAAGAGCTGTATACTGACAATGCTACTTTAGCAGTTGTTATGCATGAACCTTGCAAGGTTGATTAAGTATTATCAATTAAGAAATAAAAAGTTGGCTCCAATAATTGAATCATGTCAACAGGGAGTGTGTTTGAGCAAACGCTGTTAAGATATTGGTATATCTAATTATAAATGTACCTAACTCCCTATATATACATTAATTGTCATTTAGTTATGATTTTATGCCGTTTGTAAATGTACGCCTGAGTTCTTATAACTGATTCAATGTTTTCATTATTTTTAAATTGTCTATCAACTAAAAATTCAATGAAAATATGAATACTTGTACTAATTGAAGGTGGACATTCCTAGATATCATAGCTTTGCTAGAAGTATGTGCATGTTTGTTGATGCCAACAAGACAAGGCAATTAGATGCTCTTTAATTTTCTGTATGATCAATTGCTGTTTTGACTGCCATTCCGTACATGACTATACGTTGTGTGTCTTTGTGAGACAAAGAGATCAATGATATGCTTGTTAATTTACCTTGTCTACCCAAAACACAGATATTACCATAGATATTAGAGACACATAGTCTCTATATTTATGATATTACTGATTAACTCTCTTGAGATGCTACTAGATGCATTCAAGAAGTATTCGAGCGAGTCTGATAATAAATGAATGAAATTGAAATGTTGATTTTGTTCACTTTGTATCTAAATATTTATAATAACATTTGTTACTTTATTTGCATGTGATCTTCATTTTTGTCATGCTAGCCGTACTACTGCATGAGCATAATAGTCTAAACTATGTGTGACATGGTATACCAATAAGGTAATATCCTCCTTACAAGAGAGGTCAGTCAATAAGACATATTGATCATAGAAACTAAAGCCAGTTTCTTAGTCTTTTATGGTATGGTTCAGTGATCTGAAACAGATACAAACACATGCAGTGTTCTGGTGATCGGTTTGATCATTATAAAACTAGACCTGATCATTATTACCGCTAGACATTTTTTGCATGCCTTAATTTACTATTGCTGCTTTAAAAGGATTCCTTTTTTTAATTTCCTGTATGCTTATTACAAGGAGTGATGCTTTGTTATAGTTCAGCCAGTGGAACTATAAGAATTGCCTTTTTTGATTTGATTGATATGTCTGGAGTAAAAGGACAATAGGAAGCTGTAGAATTCTCATGCATTAAGAATGAGGTTTCCTTATTCAGTTTGGTGTCAATATATATTACTAGCTAATTCAGACCACCTGTCTTGTAATGACGTACATTTAGATAGGTGCTCTATGCATAATCTTGAACATAATTTGGTATCAATAATAAACTCACACTCATTTCACAATACGTGACATCAGTTCCATTCACGCTATTCACATGTTGCATCAGTTTCAGTATCCTTTTGTTAAATCGGAATCACCCCAAACTTTCTTTGCAACATAAGTACATGTGTATGTGCTGGAAAATGTGATAAAAATCAAAAATTTTCTACTTTTCATTTTTGATGAAATTTGGCCTGTACTATAGTACAGAGACTTTTGAGTAGCTTATAAAAAATCAAAACTTGATTGGAATCAACTCACACTTTCTATGCTACATAAGGACATGTATATGTATCAGAAAAAAATTATAAAAATAAAAAATTATCTTTTAGTCATTTTTTGCAAAATTTAGCTCAAGTCCTTGTACACATGCATAGTAATAAAGTTTCATTCAACAATTTTGTCATTTGCTAGTGTATTTGGTACATTGTATAAGTGAATAGCCTCATAATGGAGAGCTTGAGTGTGTGTGTGTGTGTGTTGGTGATACTTGTTGTCTCACATACAACACTCACACTGTCATTACATTCACACACTAGGAATGCATCATTAGATCACATCCTTAGCACCACCTGCTAGTAATAGCTAATTCCACTAATTGACTCACTCATTCGTATGCTCATAAATCATTTCTCTAACATATCTACAAGTGTAAACATCTTTTCTTGGCATCTGAATGGTGTTCATGGAACTTCATTTCCACACTTTGGAATGCAAGGGAGCAGACGTTATGTGTCATTGTCACTCATTGATATAATTACTGCTCTTTGTGTGTGGTTGGTGTGTGGTTGGTTGTGTTTGTAGTTTTGGATGTGTGCAGTATGTTATCGAGAATACTCACTCAAGCGCTTGTGACTTTTTGTACAATGGAATTTTATGATATTTCTTTATGCATAAAGTAATAAGGAGAATGCATATAGATCTATACTGTGCAATAATACTGTTAATTTTTTATATTGGAAAAATTTAGTTTAAAATTTGCTAAATAAATTAGAACTAATGATGAAAGTTAATTGATTATTATACAATATTATAGACTAATTCACAAACATCATAACTTAATCGATTGATATCATACCCAGCCATGCGAGCTAGAGTCAGGCAGGCAGCTTGTAATGCTAGTAAATGAAACTAGCAGACTAGCCTAGCCTAATGTATTTATGATTTTATTTTTTTGTACTTGTTCGTATCAGGATGTCAGCAGTTCTTAAATTGTGGCAGCTAGAGTACAGGCTGGTTTTTACCCCCTGTGAAACTTAATAATAATAATAATAATAATAATAATAATAATAATAATAATAATAATAATAATAATAAATATTGCTGTATATAGGTGACAAAAGCAACAGATGTCATGAGCATTAATAAGAAATTTAATTATTGTTTTTGTTGTCATTACGTCACGTAGGTGTGTACGCTATAAGTATGCACATGTAGTGCTTCCATTTGTCTTCTCTATATAAAGTTATAGTAGAATTTGAAAACCAGCAGACCAAGGAAACTTCACAAATACATCACTTGTCTAGCTATGTAAGAAGCAGATGTGCCACAATGATTTATGATGCAATTTTATGGTTGGCGTATATTTAAATATGCATGAAATTTTCGATCAGCAATATGCTCCATTATGGAGATATAATGTTGTTTATATGATACAACGTGCTCTTTATTTCATAGTCTTGATTATAATGTGTGGATTTTATATTCACGAGATGGTACACAAAATCTGTTGGTATCTTTGTTATTATTTTTATTTCTCTCTCTTTCTCTTGATTAGTATCCATTGCAAGCTAAACAGTACGAAACTGTCATTGACCAGATAACAAAAATAGCTCAGGATCACACAAAATCAGTGCTACCGCTGCCGAAATCTCAATTGGATGAAATGGAGGACTTTAATAAGAACATACCTCCTTGTTGTCAGCTGAAACCGGTTAGGAACTGCACCTGTGGATAGTACTTTGAATATCAAAGTAACTATTATTAATGTTAAAGTTTGCTGATTTTTCTAATTTATTATTATTATTATCAAGAGTAGGTTATCTACTCTTGATATTATTGTTATTATTATCATTATATACATGTTGTATGCTTTTTGATTTTTTATTGAAGTTGCATTTTGCTTTATTCTGTTTTCCCTGTCCCACATATTTATCTATTACCATCATTAAGTTACATAGCTGCTTTCACTTACCTTTTCCTCCACTAGCCATGTCAGATATCAGGATGTCAATCATGTGCGACTTTAAACTTTGTTACACAACACGTGTCCTCCCCCAATGTCTCTTTCCCTCTCTTTTCTTGTCTGTATCAATCACTCCTACCATTGCTTCACACAGTTAGAGGGTTCACATATCTAATTATCATTATTATGTAATTATCATATCATGTATAGTTGGGAGTATGTCCGCCAACCTTTATGACCTAAAACCTTACGACCTGTTTCCTTCTCTGTGTTTTATCAATCTCTTAATCACTCCTACTGTCATTTCTCATACTAAGAGATACCGCATTTAGTATATAATCTTCCTTCACTGAGATCTCAAGTGGTATATATTTCACTTTTATATCTCATTACTAATTATGATGAAACTCTCTAGTGGACAATATGACTGGACTATTATTCAGTCAAGCATGTGATAACACATACAGTTCAAAGTAAAGCAATAGCTATAGGAGCTAGGATAAACAACTGGCTCCAGGATACTCAGTTGCTATAAGGAGCGTTGCTATGAAAGCAATGAATGTTGCTGGACTTTGATGTCACTAGTTGTACTGAGTAGTAATTAAGAGATGATGCATACATTAGTGGTAACTTTGTAGTAGTAACTGCGTCACACACTGAGTTTATATACACACACACACACACATACACACACATATACTTACATGTAGGATTATTATGCTGTAGTACGTCATTAGTATAAACTTCTTGATTGTTTATATACACAGTAACAGTGGTGCTCCAAGGATTGTGAAAAGAATGTGATCCTTAGGAATATTCTGTCATTTATTTGTTTACTTAGCTGACATTCTTACTCCTCACTACATTCTCTCTTACTTAGCGAATAATTTAGAATTGATCTTACGTCATGAGGGTTTTGTACATAGTGTTAGCATGTATCTATTCTGTGATCACAGAGGCTATTGAATATGTATGTTCATGTTGCTATGGATATTGTGTATCTTCTAGCAACAAGTAACCAATGATCAGTATTTGGTACTACCTTCATGCATAGCCTTTGTGTCTCTCTCTTAGCATAGTTCATAGTTACCATAAATTACCAGGAAATCAAAATGATATAAAGTTATCAAGGTAATATCGCGCTGACTTAGAGGTGACAAGGTTCCAAAACGAAATTACAAAACAACAGAAAATGCTATTTACTTTATGCATACCTATAACATACACACACACACACAAGTGTTATGAGCATAATTGCAGCTGCGTAATATGATGCACTTATTTCCTTGCCATTTCTTACAAATTGTCACATTTTGACAAATTTCCTTTTCATTGTTAATACATTATTTTTAACTTATCTTTTAATAGCTATTTCAAAATGTAAATATGTTAAGTATTTAAACTATTTACTACAAATAAAGCATCAGTTATTAACATTAATGCTTAAACTTTTTGGAGTTAAAATTTTGGAATTATGACCACTTTTTAAAATGAGCAAACTTTCAAGGCTATTATAGCCCATGGTTTTTTCCAAAAAATGGCTTCGAAATCATTCCAATTTTTTATTACATTTTTTGATACATATTGATGTCCTTATGGTATGTAAAAAATTTGAGCTGATTCCGAGCTCAAATTCTGAAGTTATGAGCATTTAAACTCACATTATACTAATAGTAAAATAGAGGAAATTTTACAATAAAATTAAATGAAAAGTACAAATGACTCGCTAAACTTGCATACAATAGCGTAATGTAATAATAAAAGATAAAATATAATATAGATATATATCTGTAGCTTTATTTGATTTATGTTTATTTGTGTGTAATGTTAAATGACTCAGTCCTCATCAGTACTATCACTATCAGTCTCCTCTTCCGTTTCTGATAACACTTCCTCTTCGTTTGACTCTGAGCTCTTCGATTCGTTTAAGTCCTTCTTTCCTCTTTTCACGTCGACTCCAATGGATCCGCTGTTGTCTTGTCTGCTGTTCATCGTCTCTTCAAAGAAGAAGTCGAACGGGTACGGCTCCTTCTTGTCATAAATGACATCAAGCAGCTGCTGCCTTTGGGTGTAAGCACGTATCTAAATATATAAAGGAAGATAGGGAGAAAGTGCTTGTATAAAATTATCCAAAATAATATAAATAATAAATATAATTTCCTTCTCTCTCTCTCTCTCTCTGTTTGACTATAAAAAGAACACTATACACTTTATTTATTAAGGATGCTCTTAGTCTTTCACTGTAACTACAGTACTCTCTCTCTCTTACTTGTGTTAGAAACTCCTGATCGTCCACAGCGCTAATCCCTAGTCCCGTTATCTTATTAAACAAGTCTTGATGTGAGAGAGTCTCTGCCAGCCCTTTCTTAGAGAAATAAGTAGAGACGTTCTTACAGTCCCTGAGTAAGAACTCTAGCCCATGAGGGTGAGAGGGTTCTACAGATTGGCTCACGTCAATGATGTAGACACGTCCCTCGAACCAAAGCATGTTGAACTCATTGAGGTCAGCGTGGACAAGATGACAATCGTTGTACATTTTCTCCATCGTCTGTAGAGAAAAATAAGAGAGAGAGAAAATAAAGACATACATGTATGTACACATGGTAGTTCTAAGTTTATTGTTGCCCCTGGTAACAGGCCACACCTACTAGTTACCTGTACGCATTGATGGTAGGCGCTTTTGAGTTGATCTTGAGTGAGTTGTGAGTCCTTGAGTTTAGGGGCCGGTATCTGGTCCTTCCCAATGAAACTCATCACTAGCACGTGTTTCTTTAATAGTACAACCTTAGGACAATGTATACCATGAGAATGTAACCTATTGAGGGAAAGAGAGAGAAATAATTGTCAGTTATAGGAACAAAATTTGCAAAAATTCGTAAAAAATCTAAACTTGATCGGAATCAGTTCAAACTTGACATACAACATAAGAACATGTATATGTACCATAAAAAATTATAAAAATGGAGAATTCTCTCCTAGTCATTTTTGGTGAAATTTAGCCGATGACCCTGTACTATAGTACAGGGACTTTGGCCTGATTTTGGAGCAACTTTAAAAATTCGTAAAAAATCTAAACTTGATCGGAATCAGTTCAAACTTGATATACAACATAACAACATGTATATGCATCAGAAAAAAATTATAAAAATGAAGAATTCTCTCCTAGCCATTTTCATGAAATTTGGCCAAAAAGCCTGTACACCAGATTCTGATACAATTTTTCATAAAATAATGTCATACCTTTTCAAATTATGCATTTCTTTCTCGGCCCACAGTCTCACAATCTTCCTCGGGTTTTGCTTCCCAAACCTGTTCTTGAACCGATAGTCTTCCTTGATGTATTTGTCACGTCTAAAGAACTCGTTGAGTGTCGTCTTGAATATCTTAATAGCACATTCATCAGGCACTGCTGTACCATCCTCCAACCTGTAGAATAATAAAACATATTTTGAGGCACTAAATACTTAAAAATTGACTGTTTAAAAATTTAAAAAATAAAAATAAAAAATAAGCTCATTTGCTAGTTAAAATTATGCAAAAAAATTTCGCAATTATAAAAATTTAATATCAAAAATAGTCATAATTATTAACTATAATTTCATACAGCAGCAGCTCCCTTGCCTCCCTCCCTCCCTCTCTCTTCACTTACTCTCCTCCTCCTTCAGCGTGATACACAGCTGCCTCTTTCCCTGTACTGAGGCACCCGTTAACTTCGCCCAGTTTACCGCTGTCCACCATTTTGAAAAGCATCAGTCTTGTCTTTGGATCCAGTACGTGCTCTTGAGTTGAGTGCTCCTTCTTCTCGTGGTGACGTTGACTCTGTTTCTCTTCTCTCATGGAGTGTTCCTTCAACACGTTAAACACACTGTTGTCTAGACAGAGTCCTGGCTGAACGTCACCCATTGGAAAATCAGGAGGAAACTATAAACAAAAACAACAACAACAACAATTATAACAACACAAAACACTACAAATAATGTAATAATAATAATGAGAGTAATCGACTATTAAATGTAATTTCCATACCTTCTCCATATTCCTCACATTCTTTTGTCCGCATATTTTTGAGTCGTGTTTTGTTGGTTGTCCTGGTGACACGCCTTTCTTCCTTCCGCTGCTTCGAGGGATTCTCACGGTCATCTCGTATTCATCTACATTAATTAATCAATGGGCGTGGTCAGTAAATAATTGGTGGGCGTGGTACTTACCATCAACTACTTCTTCCTCCTCCTCTTCCTGATGATTGAGGTAAGCAGGATGCAATGAACGATAATTATCAAATGAAATTTTAACTATATATAAAAATAATATAAAAAAATGATATTAACATTATGTATTTCTGTCATTCCCATTATACTTAAATGTAGTTTATTTTCTTGCTGACTAACCTCTGCTTTGCTTGTTGTAGTGTTTCTCTTCGGCTGTTAGCTGACGGTCGTGCTCCTTATCAAATTCCAGCTGCAACATTTGAGCCAAAAGGAAGTCACTATCAGTAGACTCTGCCCCTCCACCGTTGATGGGCAGTTCTTCATTGCCAACTGGACTAACACTAGGAACAGGTCTCTCCATCTCTTTCCTGTAGATAAAGATTTTAAACAAAAATGTAATTGTCAATCGTTAAAACTTGTTGGTCAATCTTCAAAAAAAAGCATAAATATACCGTATTGTTAAAATAAAATGTCCCAGTTTCAGCGGAATGCCTAATTTTCATTTTCAATGTGTGTATTTGTAAGTATGACGACTGTCCATGTACAAATGCATATTAAAACAACATTATTAATCTCTAGTATGATCAGTGGATAGTTCTATATGTTATGATGCCATTGAATTCAAGGGAATAATCCACTGAGAATTACAATTGCACTATAGTTAGTGCAGGGTTTCCCCACAAAGCATGCTAAGTGAGCTAAATAGCATGAGCTTCATGAGCTGACAAGCACTACAATACAGTACATGGCATTTGGAGCAACTTTAAAAAATCATAAAAAATTTAAATTTGATTGGAATCAGCTCAAACTTGCTACACAACATAAGAACATGTATATGTATCGGAAAAATTATTAAAATGGAGAATTCTCTCCTAGTCATTTTTGGTGAAATTTGGCCGATGACCCTGTACTATAGTACAGGGACTTTGATCCAATTTTGGAGCAACTTTAAAAATTCATAAAAAATCCAAACTTGATCGGAATCAGCTCAAACTTTCTACACAACATAAGTACATGTATATGCATCAGAAAATATTATTAAAATGGAAAATTCTCTCCTAGTCATTTTCGGCAAAATTTGGTCGATGACCCTGTACTATAGTACAGGGACTTTAGCCAGATTTTGGAGCAACTTTAAAAATTCATAAAAAATTCAAAGTTGATCAAAATCAGCTCAAACTTTCTACGCAACATAAGTACATGTATATGCATCAGAAAATATTATAAAAATGGAAAATTCTCTCCTAGTCATTTTCAGCAAAATTTGGCCGATGACCCTGTACTATAGTACAGGGACTTTGGCCTTGGAGCAACTTTAAAAATCCCAATTTACATTACATGTAAATACATAAAAGGTACATGTACGTGTACGTACTTTAAAAGTTTTTCCTCCTCTGCTTGAAAGGACCGAGCCAGTTCTTCATCCATTACTGATGCCAGAGAGCAAGTGGGTGTGGCTGGCATCGGAGAACCCCAAGGACTCTTAGTAGGAGTTGGTTTGTGTGGGGAGAGGGTATTCAGTCCTGAATCCATTTCTGAGCGATGACTTGACTACAAGAGAAGAGAGATAAGGTCAAATATGGAGAAAGTGATCCAATTTTCTTGTTTTCTTTACTTTAAAAACACTCCTAGTCTTTGGAATCTGCTGCTTTGTTAGAAGGAGTCACCTGTAGTTGCTGCTGGGTCGAGTGTATGCTCTTTTATAAGCTCAAATTTGCTGAGAAATGGAGAAACACACAGTCTTTCTTGTGATGGTGCAACCGCGCTCTATTTAGAACATATTCATAGCTACTGGGCGGGGCTCATTTTAGACCCACGTGTTTTCACGTGTTCCGTTGAATGAAGTCACGTGACAGATAAAATGGCGTCCATTGAAGAGGTACATGTCTCTGATGATGCAGAATTCACTGATTGGAAAACGGCAAGGGATACCCTCAGAGACATCAGAGAGACAGAAAGAAGAGACAGCAGAGTTGTGGTGGCACTAGGAAAAATACTAATAGACAAATATTCAAATAAACTTGGAGATGAAGGTATTCTATTCATTATTATTGTGTCTATTATTAATTATTTATAGTCTGGACTGTACATGAACAGCTTGTTATGGCTGCATTAGACATAGGAGACACCAGGAGAGCTGAAGTACTTAAATATTACTGTAATATTAGCTGTTGTCATTCATTGTATTTGGTGGGCATATGAAGTTTTTATTCAATTTTTAATCTTTCAGTCGTCATTTGGTTGTCTCAAGAAAAGGTTCTCAAACAGCAAACGTGTAAAGAAACTCGAAGGGCTAATAATGGAAGGGAAAGAAGAGTGAGTATTGAATATAATTTATTTCTATTTTTATTTTTTTCAATCTTAAGTTTTGATGAAGCACTGGAGTATTATGAAGGAATACTTAAAGATGATCCAACCAATACTATTATATCAAAGAGGATAGTTGCTATTCACAAAGCTAGGGGAGATACAGCACTTGCCATCACGAAATTAACTGAAATATTGGAAATGTAATATTAATATTCAAATCATACAAAAAAGTATAATGTACTGTGTTGTTACTCTTATAGTACTATGGCAGACTATGAAAGCTGGTCAGAATTGGCAGGTCTATATATTTCACAGCACCAGTAAGGATTCATTTATTAATTTGAAGATAATCTCTCTTTCTCCCTCTCTCTCTCTCTTACAAAGGTATGATAAGGCTGCATTTTGTCTTGAAGAACTAATCCTCTCCAATCCTCACAATTATATATTCCATCAACGTTATGCTGAAGTGAATGCAGTACATATTTCCTATATAATACTATTACTCTTCTTTCTTCCTTTTCATTCTTGTATAGGTTTGCTATACTCAAAATACAACAGAAAGTCTTGAAATTGCTCGCAAACATTATGCGACCTCGCTGAAACTAAAACCATCTAATCTTCGGTCACTTTATGGCCTGTATCAGACTGGAGTGAGTCTTGGAAAACACTTGAAAAAGAAAGAAGCAAAAGTTAGGAATGATGACATTGCACAGTGGTGCATGTCGCAGCTTTTGGAGACTTATCAGGTAAATGTGACAGTATCCTTTCCTCAGCAGATTATGTGAATGAGTTTCTTTTGTAGGAGAATTGTAACATGGAGCAATTGAAAGTTTTGGAGAACTTCCTCAAGCCTCCATCGAAATAGGAATTGAAACTGTGCGGATATTATAATTACTAGCAGTTTGAAATCATTAATAATCTTTCAGTAATAATTGACATAAGTTCAAAAAATATGCACACATTAATTCTGTATTTAAAGCAGTTGTCTGCCAACTTGATAAGCCTGGTTAGTCTGTGTTGCTGGATCTGAAGTAGTTGGAAGAATTACATCTATTAAAAAAAACGCTCCAGTAACAAATGGAATGTTTATTTAACTACCATAGTCATGAGAAGGCTGTTGCAATTGTAGCTTTTGCTTCTTATTGTTGGTCACAACAAGAACCACCAATACAACAATCAGTGCAATACACACAGCAACTATCAATGATAGCACTGTAATAACTGCAATAATAGAAGCTGATAGACTTTGACTTCGAGTATCTACATGTATATCATATTAATAAGAGCATTTATTTATTATTAGTATAGAATATACTAACTAGATCTATTAGCAGCACAGTAGCAAGTGTATTGGTCTGGTTGTGATCCTAGTGAGCAGTCAGCAGTACCACAAGGATTCGATGCTTCACAGATGTTAGTCAAAACACAACTAGTGCAGTTAGCTGATGGAGTGTATCCTCTGTCACAGGACAATGAACAACCTTGCTAAGCATAAACTTTCACTGATTTTAACATTCTTACTTACGACATAAACAATTATTGGCACTCATACTATAACCTGATGAACAGGTTTGACAGCATCCAGTAGCATCACATCTCTCACAACCTGCAGGCTGTGAGCATGGATATGCTGCAAGAAACAATTAACAATACATTAAGAAGAGTGTGAGTGAATCAATATTAATTAATACTTATTGCTCCACATTGACAGCCATTAACTAGTTCATATCCTGATCCACACTCAGCACAACAACTTGAATTCAGCAACTGGCATTTTAAACAATTTGGCATTCTACAAGGACCTATAACAAAACATAATCAACTTAGATTTATACTACTTTTCTCAACCTTACCACAGGTACATCCATCAGTCAAATAGGAACCAGATGAACTGGTTTTGCAACAAGATGAGTTTTGACAATTGTCACAGAGTGCAATGGCACATATTGGTGAGGGAGTAGATGATGGAACAGTGGAGGAGGGAGTAGGGAAAGGAGTGGGGGGTATCACTGTAATAAAGAAAAGGAAAATAATAATGGTGTTAAAATATAGTAAAAGGAGAAAGAGAGGGGGAGAAAGAGACAGCATGATGGGATAAAAAATATTTGAATGTGTATACGTGTTTTGTGTAAAGTCAATTTTTAATTTTACCTTAAAAGGCACAACTTACCAAAAGTACAGTTGACTCCCTGGTATCCAGTGCCAGTACAATCACAAGTATAATTATCAGGAGGTGAATACTGTATACACTCTCCTCCATTCATACATGGACTGTCCTTATCACAGATACTAGTGGAATCACAGTCAGTACAATTAGAATTAACAGTATAACCATCAGAACACGTTAAATTACAAGCTAATAATAAATATAAAATTCAAAAATAAATAATGACAAGAAACATACTGCAAGTGAAGTTATTACTCTCAGTAGCAACATAGTTAGGACCTGATGATGAACAGTCAGTGCTACCATCACACTGACCATAAACAGTAAATGATAAACAACAATCAGTAGAACCTGAACCAGTACACGTCATCAGTCCAGTCTGATTACAAGCAACATCATACTCTAAACAAAGTAACAACTATTTTAATTACAATTGGCTTACCTCTACATCTAGTATCACCACCAAAACTTTCCTGACACCGATAACAATCAGTTCTTGGAGGAACACCAACAACACTGGGAGGAGGAGGATCTAAACTACCAGTCCTTCCACTCCACGTGCCACTGTTACAAACCATGTCAAATACGCTAGTTTGTTCAGGTTCTCCTGGGTTAGGACTAGGAGTGATAGTAGCTATATGAGAGAAACTTCATCATAAGTATCAATCATGCTCCCTTGAGCTATACAGACATACTGAACTGATCCTTCAGTTACATTAGGAGAGTACGCCTGGTTACCATCAGATTCGACTAGTAAAGGAGCCAATGCAGCCTCTATCTCAGCTATTGTTGGTAGAGGACAATCCTGAGCAACTGATAGTGACAGAACACATAAAACAAATACTAGGACTGCTTCTTTCATCATTGCTATCAAACTACTTTCCTGATGACTAAACGAATTTATGACATCATCAACTGCACTGAATAGCAACAATTTTGCAACTATGTTGTACACTCACACATTATGCCAGCTTAAATCATAATAAAAGCTTTTTGATAATTTTACAAACACACTATAGACTATAGATCTAGCTAATGCATGAGTCTAAAAACTAAAATAAAACCAAAGAGGCAGCAAACAAGGCAGTGAGTGTCCCAAAGGCATAAGGAGTGTATTCAATAATATATGTGATCATGATTCAGTTGGAAGGTTGAGTCATTGGAGACAATGAGATATGGAGCCAATGGCATAATGAGAGCATTGACTGATCCAACCAAATCACTGAACAATGGCCTGTCATCAGGAGACTCAGCCCAACACTGCTGCATCAAGGAATAACTATATACAGCAAAGCATATATCATCATACAGCTAATAATTATTATTATGCATACATGTCTTCTGAGCAGGCTTCATTATGAGGACAGCTTAGCCTTTGCCCACCATCCAATAGTTCCACTAATCCTATTGGATCCATACCAGGGTATGGTATTTTCCCAGCACTAAAGACTTCCCAACATAAAACACCATAAGACCACTGTGTGTGTGAGAATTGAGCCATACTAGATCTAACAATATCATTTAAAACTGACCACGTCTGATTTT